TTCAATAAACGGTGTTGGGAAAAATGGGTATCCACATGCAAAAGAGAAGAATGGAACCATTAGCTTCACCCATACACGAAAATCCACTCACAATGGATTAAAGGCTTAAACCCAAGGCCTGACGCTGAAAAACTAGGAAAACAGGGAAACACCCCTTGCCATCATCTGGGTGATGATTTTTTTTTCCATAGAACACCAAAAGCACAGGAAACAAAAACAAACAAACAAAGAAACAAAATGCTACTCCATCGAGCTACAAAGCTTCTGCACAGTTAAGAAAGCAATCAACAGGGCGCAGAGGCACCTATGACATGGGAGGGAATATTTGCAAACCATATGTCCGATAAGGGGTTCATGTCCAAAATGTGTAAGACACGTACACCTCCATACGAGTAAAAACGACCCAGCTGAGAAACAGCCGCAGTCTGTGACCAGACGCATTGCCAAAGCACACCTGCGAACAGCCACCAGCTGCCTGGAAGGATGTCCCCCACGATCAGGGAGACGCCAGCCCGCACTGAGATATGGCTTCCCACCTGTCAGGACGCTCCGTGTTAATTATTTTTTAAGTAAAAGAAAAATCGGTGAGAATGTGGAGGGCAGGGATCTCCAGCAGATTGTTGATGGAAGCACAAATTGGCGCAGTCACTGTGGAAAACAGGATGGAGGTTTCTCAAAAATTAAAAATGCAACTGCCGTGTAACTCGCTTACAATCCTGCTTCTGGGCGTTCACCCGAAGGCGCTGCAGTCCAGATCTCGCAGAGACGCCAGGCTCCTCGCAGAGACGCCCGGGCGCAGCAGCCATCTCCACGGCCGAGACGTGGCCGCAACCCCAGCGTCCTGCAGCGGGCGCGGGGACCCAAGTGCGGTCTGCGCACACAGTGGACTGTCGCTCAGTCTTAAGGAGTCCTGCCATCTGTGAGGACGGGGAGAATGGGCCTGCTCACCACTGACTCCCAGGGTCTGGCAGGAGGAGGGACACACAGCAGGTGCTGGCGCAGAGTCCCTGCGAGGGCACGCCACCGCGCCTCCCAGGCCCCCAAGGCGGAGGGCCCTGGGCCCTGGCGCCAGTTTCCGTGGCGATGCTGAGACGCCCCACCCAGCCGCCCCTGGGGTCTGCGCAGGCACCTCCAAATGACTTCCGACTGAGCAGAGACGCTCGGTGCCACGGGGCGGCCAGCGTCTGGGAAGCCCAGTGAGTACTCAGGATGGCCATGAACTCCCTCCAGCTCTCGGGTAAGGTCAGGCTTCACCCCTCCGGGGTCGTGAGGTCTGAATGGAGGCGATCTCCCAGGACAGGTGGACCAGCGGAATGGGAGGGGGGGTCAGGAGAGCACAGCGCCGGCACCAGCAGAGGTGGCATGGAGTGGTCACCACCCCCTACGTCCCAGGGTCCTCTCGGACATGCTGGCCTCCTCCAGACTGGAGACGGTTCCGAAAGGGTCAGAAATTTGGAGGCAGGGATGTGGGCCCCTGGTGCACCCGAGGGTGAGTGTGGACCGGAGATGAGCTCTGAGCCCAGGGCAACCCGAGAGCTACGGATGGAACCTCGGGGGGGAGCGGCTCGGATTGGTGTGGGGGCACACGGGAAAACGGAGCTAGCTGGGGCCGCTGACGCCATCCAGGCCGGGGACGGGTAAGGAAACTGAGGCCAGGAAGGTGAGGAGGACAGGGCACCAGGCCTGCGAGCAGGTGGTGTCGGAGCTTTGGGGGGGGGGGTGGGGGTCTCAGTTCCTGGAGGGAAATCTTTAGCATCTTGCACCCCCCCTGGTGTCTCACAGACGGGGCTGTTGGTAAGGGGTCTACTGCTCCCTTCTTACTGCCTTCTCTCGCTCTCTCTCTGTCTCTCAGACGCAGATAAACTGAAGGGAAAAAATGCATTTGGGGCATTTCACAAACTTCGGGAGTCTTCTACTATTGGCCATGGTATCTGATCTATCATTTGGAATTCGCACATGTCCTGTGCTCAGTGCCAGGCACGGCCCCTTTCCCAATGCGGACCTTCCCGGCCCATCTCGGCAGGCCGTTGTCACGGAGCCCAGAGGAGGCGGGTGGCCGCCGGGTGGGCGGAGCCGGAAGCGGAGCAGCCAGGGTCCCCAGCCCGTCCCGTCCGATGCTGCGGCCATCAGACAGGGACAGTGTGCTCACTTTTTTAGGACAATAAAAAAAAAACAAAACACATTTTATTGGCTAGAGTATTTTGCAGTTTGTGGAATTCCTTGCACCGCCTATGCAGCCGCTCCAGCCCTCGGCCTCCCTGGGGGGTGGTGTGACCAGCCATGTTTCCCAAACGAGGAAATGGGGGGACAAGAGAATCAAGTGTCCTCCGCCCAGGCCCCCTCGGAGCCGGGACCCCAACCAAGGCTTTCTGGGTCTACCTTCTGCGCTTTTCCACTGCACTGGGCTGAACTCAGGGAACGGAAGGCAGGGAAATGCATTTTAACGTTTAACATCTTCCATCAGACGCTTTCAGCACATGTTACGCCAAGGCCATTCAGCACTGGATTACAGCTATTCCAAAACACCCACTTGAGAGAGAGTGAGCATCTGAAGGTAACACATGCGTTCTTGCTTTCCTCCCTCTGCTTCAGCGGGCCGGCACTCCCCGGCCTGCTGGGTGTTCCGCGGGCGCGGTGAGCGTGCGCCAGCTGCCGGGGCCACAGCCCCGGAGGAATGGGGGGGCGGGGGGAGGTTCCTGTCTTCAGGACGTATGCACTCTAGAGAGGGGACAGGCCTGGGCGCAAGCAATGTCAACACAACACAGCACAAGCTGTCGCAGAGCAGGTCTGCAGAGCTCTGGGAGCAGAGGGGAGAGAGGCAAGAAGGCTTCCCGGAGGAAGGGGCATGTGAATTTGGGCGGCGAAGGGAAGTGAGAGTTGGTCACTGTGGGGAGAGACCAGCAAGACCAGCGCAGGGGATGAAAGGGCAGGACACACCGTCAGCCAGTCCTGGCTCCGTCCAAAGTCACGGTCCCCTTGGCGATCCCATCAAGCCGTAAGCATCCGGTCCGACCGGGCCAACCGCTGGTGAACACCTGGCACTACAGGGTGAGTCGGAGGAACGTGAACCCTGCCCACGAGGAGCCCAGAGTGTGTCCAGGGTCCTTGCCTCACCCACGCTGCAGGGAGCCCCAGTGTGTGCCCCTCCTGCGGACCTATCCGGTGCTTAAGCACGGCCCCAGCTGAGCAGACCCTGAGTCCCCGGACTAGATGAGAACTGTGTTTGACGGCAAAGCCCTTGACCTTCACCATTTGTAAACAAGGGTGATGGCATGGTGCATTTCCCCTGACAGAGGCCCCTTTCGGTGTCCCTGAGGGGACCTTGGACCCCAGCACAGCGTCCCCGCTGTGAGTCACTGGCCAGAGTTTCCACTCCCTTTCCGTAGCTGACGGCTGCTTAACGACTCGCTGACAGGAGGAAAGGGGGTTCTTTAAAAAGAAGGATAACCCCTCTTATCTTCGGGGCACCTTAGGTTTGGAAAAGCCCCCCCCATCCATCACCCCACCCACTCGACTGTCACCCGAGCAGGCAAGCTGCAAGTGTTGTTCGTGTCCCCATTCTACAGATGAGAAAAAGGAGTCCCGGGGAGGAGGAGAAGCTCAAGGTCACGCGGCAGGTACGGCAAGAGATCAGAACTCAAACCCGTGTCTCCTCGTCCCTTCTCTGCACCGTCCCATCTGTCTGAACACAGTCACATCTCCTCATGACGACACAAATCCCAGCTGAAACGCTGGTCAGCGCACATGCCTGCCGGCTACGGCATAAATTAAAAGCCCAATTAAAGAACACGGCCTTTTAACTGGGACTGATCTCCGACCCCAGAGGCCGGGGTATACAGAGAGAGCCCGTGGAAATCGACGGCTGCCCCTCCTGGAAACCACCCAGAGACCCACTCACCCACAGGCAGCAGCCTTGAGACCCGAATTCTTCGCCTAACTTGACTTCCCTTCGCCATCATCTTCTGGGGGCCTGGCCTTGCTGGGCTGGGGCTCGGACCAGCCCTGGGCCCCTGGCTCCCGGCCCGCAGCCCAGGACAACAGCCCATCCCTCCGCATGGACAGCCCGGGCACCTCGCAGCACCGACACGTCTCCTAATGTCAAGAGCAACAGAACCCGATGGAAAGCAAACCTCCCTAGTTCGGCCAGAGAACGGAGGCACGTTCTCCAGCTCTCTGAAAGTGGAGTAGTTTGCCAGTGGCCAGAGTCCTGGGGGTGGCCAAGGAGACGAAGGGTGTCATCATAGCCCCTGTGGTCTTGTTTTGCTGGCAACGGCATGGGCGGGGGTCGCTGGAAACAAGGTGAGGAGAAAGGGAGGGGGCGTCCTGACAGCTAGTTTATAATGTTATTCCCATTCTCGCCCACCCCTCCCGCCAACGGCAATAACAACATCAACCCCAGGGACACCCTTGGGTCTCGAAATGGCAATAGTTCCCCCTTCCCTGGTCTAAACAGCCCTCCAATTGCCGGGTTTGAAGCTGGCCGGACAGACCACGGGCTGCTGTGAGCTCTGGTCCCAGTCCATGTCATAGCTGAGCTGCAGTAACCAACCCCCACCCCCCCCCCCCGTCCCCAGCTGAGCCACAGCAAGAATGGGTCTCTGGGTCAGCCTGAACCACAGAACCACTACCACCAGCCCGTTCACCCCTACACGGTCTTCTTGCAAACCGGGAAGCAGGTCCAAAGGCCGGTCGAACCTGCTTGCCCAGGGTCTGGACCAGCTCCCTCAGCCTCCAGCTGGGACTTCCGTGGGGACCACCTCATTAACCCCAGATCTCCCCCCTATGGCATCAGATCCCCCCCTCTGCCCCCTCCAGCCCTGTCCAGATGTGCCCGACACCAAAGGACAGGGAGGTTGGGGGGGATCCAAGGGGATAAACCACATTTCGCGGCGGAATCCCTGTTAAGTAATAGAAAGCCATCCAACGAGCAGCCACGCTTCCAGAAACGTCACCGCCACCGAGGAGTTTGGCAGCTGCCGACGCGGAGTGCTCTCACCTACCTGTCTCCCACCGCAGGGCTCCCCTCCGTCACCTCCTGGGCCACCACTCCTGGGTCCCTCTTGCTCCTCTCGTCCCCTTCGCCAGCCGCCAACACTCGCAGCTGCGGTGGGTGGCCCGCGGAGTCCCGGGCACCTGTGAGCTGGGTCTCAGGTCCCCTGGCGGCGAGGCTGCCTGAAGCGGGAGCGAGAGGATGCTGCCCTCGCCTCGGCCGCCGCCGTGGTGCTGATGCCGTTGCTATGGTTATGGAACTCCGCAGCTGCCCCCTCTTGGCGCAACAGCTGCCCCGCCGCGGCCTCCGGGCAGCCCCGGCCAACCCGCCCGGAGGCAGCCCAGCGGACGCGGGGACTGGGGCAGAGCCGCCGGCGCCACTGCCAAAGAGGAACTGCCTGTGTCTGCGCCCGAGCCTGCCTGCGGGCTCTGCTCACCTCGGCGCCCTTGCTCGTCTCCTTCCCTCGCCGGGACGCGCCAGACCCCGGCGCAGCGCGCAGCGCGCCCTCGCGGCCTGGAGAGCGCGCCCCGCCGCCGCCGCCGCCGCCGCCGCCGCCGCCCGGCCCTCAGCTCGCGCGCCGCCCGCGCTGCGCGTGTGCCCGCAGGCCGCCCCGCGGCCAAACCCCGCCCGCGCGCCCGTTCGGCCTGTGCGGGGCGCCAGCGGCCCGCCCGACGCCCACGCGCCTCGCTGGCCCGCGGGGCCTCGAGCATGCTCAGTCTCTGCGTGGGGGTCGGGAGCTGCCCGCCTGAATTAGGGGACTGGGCGCAGCCAGATGTAAAAGGTCCTTCCAGACCCCTGGGGGCAGGCGGGGAAGCTAACCCCCACCCCGTGGCTGGGGGAAGGGTGTTCAACTTTGAAGAGGGGCGCAGGGGCAACCCAGCAGAGAAAGGAGCCTCTTGCTCTGCCCCAGCTCAGAAAGGGTGAAAGCCCCACGGGATCTGTAGGTCCAGCACAGTTTTGAGTGTGGATCAAACCCAGTCCTGCCCCGCACCGCCCCCACCCCCACCCCCGCTGAATCCTTCGATTCAGCACAGCAGGGGGCAGAGTGTGAGGACTGGAGGGTGGCGGCGCTGATCCAGGGCCTCAGAGCCGGGGAGGGGGTTGGAACTTGACCTTGAGTACAACAGAGGGAAGTCTGGGTCAGCATTACAGGACGGTCCCCCAGGCTGCAGTCCAGGGCAGGATGCTACTAAGGCTGGGAGTCGGGGAGTCCTGAGGAGGTGCACTGCAGTGCGGGGGGCGGGGACAGCGAGGCCAGTGCGCCTGCCTGTCTGCGGGGGGCCTGCCCCGCCCACAGCGCCTGCCAGGCCTTGGACAACACAGGTGCCCGAAGTTTGCGGAAGGGCAGGTAAGTGAGTACTTACTTACTTAATGCTCTTCTGTCCCAATGTTAGTCCTTGCAGTGCGAGCGAAATCGTAGGGCATTTATTTTGCTGTTAACGTTGCATGCTCATGCAACCGTACGTTTGAAAGTCAGTGCAAGTCCCCCAAATTTTCCTCTGCACTGGCTAGGCATTGGCCAGTCCCCAGCGGCACGGAGACGCGGCCGGAGGGCAGGCTTTTTCTGTATTCGGATATGTTTCAATTGCCCGGATGAGAGGCCTCCAGGACGCATTGCTGAGTCTAGAGCAAAGGGCAGAAGAGCATCTCTAAGAAGGCAGCTAACTCCGTGGAAGGAGGCGGAGACGGGTGTGTACGCGACCTGGCTGGCGTCGGCGTCACCAGGCGCTGGCGGGCTGCGTGAGGGACTTGTGGGGCAGGTACGAGCCATGGAGGCAAGCTGGGCGGTCAGCTGGGTGTGCGAGGTCGGGGTGGGAGTGAAACTTTCCAACGTATACTTTTAAGAAACTTTTTGATGTTTGAACCAGGACTTTATCGCATGGGTCCATATAGACAATGTGTCGCTGCCCGTGTCTAGAATGTTAATGAAGCTTGAGGTGACCTCTGACGGAACATGCGGCCCGTTCCCCCCGGACACAACCTACGGCCCCCAGCCCCGCCAGACCTTGGTGGTGAAGCTCTATCATGACTGACCACTGTGAAGGCTCCCCCTTCGGTCCCTGCTGTGCCCGTGGCCTGGGGGTAACGAGCAAAGGGGGAAGGACAGAGACAGGATCTGAGGGCTCCAGGGTCCGGGAGCACCGATGTCAGCACGAGGGAGCCATGCGGGCATGATTCCTGTGTCAGGACCCAGGGGTCCTCACCACAGCGGCAGCACCGGTCTGTGGTGGCCCGCATGGCACCCATCGGCCGTCCAGCTGGAGCGATGCCCCGTGGGCCCCGAGAGTCCTCAGCCACGTCCTCCTCATGGGCAGGCTTCGTGCTGTGCCCGCTCCAAACGGGTGCGTTCTGGGCCCCCCCAGGGTGAGGCTCTGAACAGCCCGGGGCTGCCGGAGGTCTGGAAGGCAAAGGCCCTGCCACTGCCCCTGCCCTCCCAGGAAATGACCCACCAGCCATTGAATCCCCCGAGTCAGAAAGCTGACGGCATCTGAGGCTTTCTGGCCCCTCCGTGTCATTCTCCCCCCCACCCTCCCCTCCCACTCGTCCAGTCACACACCTCCTTCTGCCACTGCCCCTCGCCCAGGGCGTCTGCAAAGTCACCTGTCACAGGGGCCCCACGAGAGAGGCAGGGAGCGATGCCGTGGACAGAAACAGGTGTCATCATACCTTTCTGCTTCGGGGGGACCCGCCGGGACAGGGTTCTGGTGCCGCTGGAAGGCGACACCCCATTTTAGAGAGCCGAGCAACACAGCAAAGCACGGGGTACTTCCGGCCGAGTGTAGTCCTGGCGGCTGAGCCCGCCCCCCACGGGGGCCCCGTGGGTTCGGGGTGGGGATGGGGGTCACAGCACAGCGTGCCAGCGTTTTCCTGCATCCTGGAGAAGGCAGATTTTCAATGCTGACATCCTGTGGCAACAAGAAGCAACTGTCAGGAAGTGCTTAGCAGACTCCCGTGACCAGGAGGACCGTGGGAGCCCCCGTGGTTTCAGAATGGCTGGGAGAAGCCACATCCCCGAGAAAGAGAGCGTCGCTGCCCGCCGACAGAGGAGCACACACCGGGCAGCTCGCCTGGCCGTGGGACCCGGCCGGGCGGCCCTCTCCCCGCGCCTCCGGTGCGGTGCCACTTGACCTGGTTGTATCTCAAGTCCCCGTTCTGCGAAACAGGGACGAGGGTGAAATGCATCGCGTGGGTTTCTGGTGACGTTTACGTGAGTTAAAACTTCTGTGGATTTCAGTGGGCTCACACTTAGGGCCGTGCCCAGAGGGGAGAGAGGACCCCCTGGCTGAGAGCTGTGGTTGTCTTTTAAATGTCGGATGGAGTTGTCGCGATCGGAAAGGTGCTTGGGGTGCCGTGTTTTTATCAGTTACACTTTCTTTCTGTCCCGGTTGCTTCTGGAGCTCCTGAGGGTAACTTCCTCACCCGCAGCAGCCAGTGATGGGCAAAAATAAAAATAAAAAGTTCCTACCAATGTCACTGGATTTCAGCGTTTATCTGTTTACATGGCAGTGAGGAGCCCGATTCTGACTAAGGTGAGCAGAGACAAACCCCCACAGCACCGGATAACCCCCCCAAAACCACAGCCGCACCTCACGTGGCCGCACCGGGGGTGGCGGCTGCTCCTGTCTGACGGCCCCAGCTGAGGGCACAGACCCCCGGCTCCCAGAGCCTCTCCGCACGAGGAAGAGGCGAGCCCGGATCCCACGCAGGGTATGCCCACGCGGCTGCCCCTCGGCTGGGTCACAACCTCGGGGGCTTCCTGGGTAGAATCCCACAGTGGCCCCGTACGCAGAGGGCAGGGAAAAATCCAACGAAGAGACGGGCTGCCCCGGATCCCAGGGTGGGAGGCAGGGTTAGGAAGCAAGGCAACTCGCAAGGCTCGTCTCGGGCTGCTGCGAGGTGAGCAGATCTCCACGCCCACCCTCCGAAATCTTGCAGATTCAGAGAGAGGCCTCAAGAGGGCTCAGTCACATCCGCTTGAGGAGCCCCCTGTGGCCAGGGTCCAGCTCATGGGCCCCTCGGTGGCCGCAGGCTCTCCACGACCTCCTCCGACGCACTCTGAGAGGCGTCCAGAAAGGTCTGCGTGACCAATGACTGATGAAATTTCGGGCACAGGATTTACGTTTACGTATCACGTGTAATGATGTCCATGACTTTGCTGCTGAAAAAGCTAGATTTACTACCGAAAAAAAACAAAAAAAAGGGAGTTGGTAACAAATAAATCATTTGTGTCTTTTAGAATGTCAGCAACTTCGAAAAAAAAAGGAGAAGACCGTGGAGTGGATTGTAAGGTGACAGTAACAAATAACGGCCCTAAGTTGTAAAATAATGATACCATTTTTCAACTCGAGAAAGGGAATATGTATATAAAATTTGTCTCCATCATTTTGAGTTTGTGGATCATTAAATTAAATGACGACAGTAGTGCTTTGGGGACAAATTCTTCCTTTTATAAAGGGCACTGCCTTGCCTTGGGAGTCGGCCAGAGCGTCCTCACTTCTCCTAATTGAAGCGTTGGGGACTGCACCACCGCTCCAGGCCCCGCTCCAGGCCCTGCTCTAGGCACCCCCCCCCCGCCCCGGCGACACCCACAGGGAAGGAGCGACCTGGACCACGGCCCATGGCCCTCTTCTCAGAAACTCACTTCCTCCCCCGAGTGACAGGGTGCGGTCGGTGCGCCCCGTGGGACGGGCTGGGGAAGGAAACGACCCCGGAGTGTGCAAGGGCCCAGCATCCCCCCTAGACCCCTGCAGTCCCGTGCTGTCCCCTTGGACACAAGTCCCTCCTCACAGCTCCCCTTCATCGTTACATTCTCGGGGGGATGTACAGGGCTCAGGGACCGGGTGGCTGCCCCCGAGAGTAACACAGTCAGGTGGCCACACTGGCGCTTCACCTTGGGAACCAAATCTGCCCGCACGGCGCGTGGGGACCTGGGGCCGTCACCCTGACCCCCGGAGCCTCGCTCCCTCTCCATGGTGGAAAGGATGGTGAGAAGAGCAAGATGTCCCTGCTGATTGTGACCGGTCCTGCGTCCCCGGGCCCACACTCCATTCCCTGCACCCCCCGGGGCTTGCGTGAAAAAGCGCAG